AGAACGTGAAGAACCAGTGGCATCTACATCTGCAGAACGTGAAGAAGCAGTGGCAACTACATCTCCAGAACGTGAAGAACCAGTGGCATCTACATCTATAGAACATGAAGAACCAGTGGCATCTACATCTACAGAACGTGAAGAATCAGTGGCATCTACATCTGCAGGATGTGAAGAACCAGTGGCATCTACATCTACAGAACGTGAAGAACCAATGGCATCTACATCTGCAGAACGTGTAGAACCAGTGGCATCTACGTCTGCAGAACCGGAAGAACCAGTGGCATCTACATCTGCAGAACGTGAAGAACCAGTGGCATCTACATCTGCAGAACGTGAAGAACCAGTGGCAACTACATCTCCAGAACGTGAAGAACCAGGGGCATCTACATCTATAGAACATGAAGAACCAGTGGCATCTACATCTTCAGAACGTGAAGAACCAGTGGCATCTACATCTATAGAACGTGAAGAACCAGTGGCATCTACATTTGCAGAACATGAAGACCCAGTGGCATCTGCATCTTCAGAACGTGAAGAACCAGTGGCATCTGCATCTGCAGGACATGAAGAACCGGTGGCATCTACATCTGCAGAACGTGAAGAACCAGTGGCATCTACATCTATAGAACATGAAGAACCAGTGGCATCTACATCTACAGAACGTGAAGAACCAGTGGCATCTACATCTGCAGGATGTGAAGAACCAGTGGCATCTACATCTACAGAACGTGAAGAACCAGTGGCATCTACATCTGCAGAACGTGTAGAACCAGTGGCATCTACGTCTGCAGAACCGGAAGAACCAGTGGCATCTACATATGCAGAACGTGAAGAACCAGTGGCATCTACATCTGCAGAACGTGAAGAACCAGTGGCATCTACATCTCCAGAACGTGAAGAACCAGGGGCATCTACATCTATAGAACATGAAGAACCAGTGACATCTACATCTGCAGGACATGAAGAACCGTTGGCATCTACATCTATAGAACTTGAAGAACCAGTGGCATCTACATCTTCAGAACGTGAAGAACCAGTGGCATCTACATCTATAGAACGTGAAGAACCAGTGGCATCTACATTTGCAGAACATGAAGACCCAGTGGCATCTGCATCTTCAGAACGTGAAGAACCAGTGGCATCTACATCTGCAGGACATGAAGAACCGGTGGCATCTACATCTGCAGAACGTGAAGAAGCAGTGGCATCTACATCTGCAGAACGTGAAGAACCAGTGGCATCTACATCTGCAGAACGTGAAGAACCAGTGGCAACTATATCTCCAGAACGTGAAGAACCAGTGGCATCTACATCTGCAGAACGTGAAGAACCAGTGGCATCTACATCTATAGAACATGAAGAACCAGTGGCATCTACATCTACAGAACGTGAAGAACCAGTGGCATCTACATCTGCAGGATGTGAAGAACCAGTGGCATCTACATCTACAGAACGTGAAGAACCAGTGGCATCTACATCTGCAGAACGTGTAGAACCAGTGGCATCTACGTCTGCAGAACCGGAAGAACCAGTGGCATCTACATCTGCAGAACGTGAAGAACCAGTGGCATCTACATCTGCAGAACGTGAAGAACCAGTGGCAACTACATCTCCAGAACGTGAAGAACCAGGGGCATCTACATCTATAGAACATGAAGAACCAGTGGCATCTACATCTTCAGAACGTGAAGAACCAGTGGCATCTACATCTATAGAACGTGAAGAACCAGTGGCATCTATATTTGCAGAACATGAAGACCCAGTGGCATCTGCATCTTCAGAACGTGAAGAACCAGTGGCATCTACATCTGCAGGACATGAAGAACCGGTGGCATCTACATCTGCAGAACGAGAAGAACCAGTGGCATCTACATCTATAGAACATGAAGAACCAGTGGCATCTACATCTACAGAACGTGAAGAACCAGTGGCATCTACATCTGCAGGATGTGAAGAACCAGTGGCATCTACATCTACAGAACGTGAAGAACCAGTGGCATCTACATCTGCAGAACGTGTAGAACCAGTGGCATCTACGTCTGCAGAACCGGAAGAACCAGTGGCATCTACATCTGCAGAACGTGAAGAACCAGTGGCATCTACATCTGCAGAACGTGAAGAACCAGTGGCAACTACATCTCCAGAACGTGAAGAACCAGGGGCATCTACATCTATAGAACATGAAGAACCAGTGACATCTACATCTGCAGGACATGAAGAACCGTTGGCATCTACATCTATAGAACGTGAAGAACCAGTGGCATCTACATCTATAGAACGTGAAGAACCAGTGGCATCTACATTTGCAGAACATGAAGACCCAGTGGCATCTGCATCTTCAGAACGTGAAGAACCAGTGGCATCTACATCTGCAGGACATGAAGAACCGGTGGCATCTACATCTGCAGAACGTGAAGAAGCAGTGGCATCTACATCTGCAGAACGTGAAGAACCAGTGGCATCTACATCTGCAGAACGTGAAGAAGCAGTGGCAACTACATCTCCAGAACGTGAAGAACCAGTGGCATCTACATCTATAGAACATGAAGAACCAGTGGCATCTACATCTACAGAACGTGAAGAATCAGTGGCATCTACATCTGCAGGATGTGAAGAACGAGTGGCATCTACATCTACAGAACGTGAAGAACCAATGGCATCTACATCTGCAGAACGTGTAGAACCAGTGGCATCTACGTCTGCAGAACCGGAAGAACCAGTGGCATCTACATCTGCAGAACGTGAAGAACCAGTGGCATCTACATCTGCAGAACGTGAAGAACCAGTGGCAACTACATCTCCAGAACGTGAAGAACCAGGGGCATCTACATCTATAGAACATGAAGAACCAGTGGCATCTACATCTTCAGAACGTGAAGAACCAGTGGCATCTACATCTATAGAACGTGAAGAACCAGTGGCATCTACATCTTCAGAACATGAAGAACCAGTGGCATCTACATCTTCAGAACGTGAAGAACCAGTGGCATCTGCATCTTCAGAACGTGAAGAACCAGTGGCATCTACATCTGCAGGACATGAAGAACCGGTGGCATCTACATCTGCAGAACGTGAAGAACCAGTGGCATCTACATCTATAGAACATGAAGAACCAGTGGCATCTACATCTACAGAACGTGAAGAACCAGTGGCATCTACATCTGCAGGATGTGAAGAACCAGTGGCATCTACATCTACAGAACGTGAAGAACCAGTGGCATCTACATCTGCAGAACGTGTAGAACCAGTGGCATCTACGTCTGCAGAACCGGAAGAACCAGTGGCATCTACATATGCAGAACGTGAAGAACCAGTGGCATCTACATCTGCAGAACGTGAAGAACCAGTGGCAACTACATCTCCAGAACGTGAAGAACCAGGGGCATCTACATCTATAGAACATGAAGAACCAGTGACATCTACATCTGCAGGACATGAAGAACCGTTGGCATCTACATCTATAGAACATGAAGAACCAGTGGCATCTACATCTTCAGAACGTGAAGAACCAGTGGCATCTACATCTATAGAACGTGAAGAACCAGTGGCATCTACATTTGCAGAACATGAAGACCCAGTGGCATCTGCATCTTCAGAACGTGAAGAACCAGTGGCATCTACATCTGCAGGACATGAAGAACCGGTGGCATCTACATCTGCAGAACGTGAAGAAGCAGTGGCATCTACATCTGCAGAACGTGAAGAACCAGTGGCATCTACATCTGCAGAACGTGAAGAAGCAGTGGCAACTACATCTCCAGAACGTGAAGAACCAGTGGCATCTACATCTATAGAACATGAAGAACCAGTGGCATCTACATCTACAGAACGTGAAGAACCAGTGGCATCTACATCTGCAGGATGTGAAGAACCAGTGGCATCTACATCTACAGAACGTGAAGAACCAGTGGCATCTACATCTCCAGAACATTAAGAACCAGTGGCAACTACATCTCCAGAACGTAAAGAACCAGTGGCATCTACATCTGCAGAATATAAAGAACCAATAGCATCTAAATCTGCAGAACATGAAGAACCAGTGGCATCTACATCTGCAGAATGTGAAGAACCAGGGGCATCTACATCTATATAACATGAAGAACCAGTGGCATCTACATCTTCAGAACGTGAAAAACCAGTGGCATCTACATCTATAGAACATGAAGAACCAGTGGCATCTACATCTGCAGGACATGAAGAACCGGTGGCATCTACATCTGCAGAACGTGAAGAACCAGTGGCATCTACATCTGCAGAACGTGAAGAACCAGTGGCATCTACGTCTGCAGAACATGAAGAACCGGTGGCATCTACATCTTTAGAACGTGAAGAACCAGTGGCATCTATATCTTTAAAACGTGAAGAACCAGTGGCATCTACATCTACAGAACGTGAAGAACCAGTGGCATCTACAGAACATGAAGAACCAGTGGCATCTACATCTGCAGGACATGAAGAACCAGTGGCATCTACGTCTACAGGAGATAACACAAATTTAAAGCCATTTCCCCCGTGTTTAGTGTACACCTGCGTACAACAAGGTTTGGAATCGACAGGAGCAAAGTTAGGCCTTGCGAACGGAATTCGACTTGCGAACAGAATTCGACTTACGAACAGTAAACCTCTGCAACCTAACCCGTTCGTAAGTCGAGGAGTCCCCTTGTCCCGCAGACTCTTTCTAAACTTCCGGAAGGCGAAACACTTCCCGGAATCGGAAGAAGTCTTCCGATTTAGGAAGAAACCACAAAAAAAATCTTGACTGTGGTTATCACACCTGATGATGATTTGCTTGTGTTGCAGTCGAAACGTCGTTAGAATTTTATTGTTTTATGTATTTTTATAATTTTATTGTTTCCCTTCTACGTGACTTTACCGATAGAACCAAGAATATCATCCAACCCCGTGTAACCCCACCCCCTTCCCCGGTGATGTCACGAATAAGTGGGTGGGGTAGCGGTGGTGTGGGCGGGGCGCGCGCTCCTTATTAGGGCAACGAACAGGAAGTAGGGCGGAAGCAGTCGTCACCGTTAAAGGCGGCGGCGGCGGTGGCGGTGGCTCAGAGGCCCCGCTGAAGGATTTAAAAAAAAAAATTAAATGTCTTTAAAATGTTCCTCTTTTATACTTTCCTCGATCCCGCAAGATATCTGACGACGACAACAACAACAACGGTACCGTCTGATTGTTTACACCTTCACCCAGCGCCTCTGTTGTTGTTGTTGTTTTTGGTCTCGCGCTCTCGCTCCGGTTTGTGTTATACGCTTAATAAATTAATAAGTATATGTGTTTTTTAACTCTTGTATAGTGGTAATAGTGGTGTTAGGCGCAACAACCAGCCCTACAACAAACAACAACAGCAGCTAGCATCAACAGATGCCATTCGTTAGCGCGACAGTTGCCAGCAACTACCGTAGAGATGTACTATACACTTCCTCTGTCGCCAACAACACAACCACTACCAACACAACCACCAACAACAACCACCAACACAACCACCACCAACAACAACCACCAACACAACCAACACAACCACCACCAACACAACCAACACAACCACCACCAACACAACCAACACCAACACAACCACCAACACAACCACCAACACAACCACCACCAACACAACCACCAACACAACCACCACCAACACAACCACCAACAACCACCACCAACACAACCACCAACACAACCACCACCAACCACCACCAACACAACCACCAACAACCACCACCAGCACAACCACCAACACAATCACCACAACCACCACCAACACAATCACCACCAACACAACCACCAACACAACCACCACCAACACAGCCACCACCAACACAACCACCAGAACCACCAACACAACCACCAGAACCACCAACACAACCACCAGAACCACCAACACAACCACCAGAACCACCAACACAACCACCAGAACCACCAACACAACCACCACCAACACAACCACCAACACAACCAACACCACCACCACAAACACAACCAACACAACCACCACCAACACAACCACCACCAACACAACCACCACCAACACAACCACCACCAACACCACAACCAACACCACAACCACCACCAACACCATAACCACCAACACAACCACAACCACCAACACAACCACCACCAACACTACCACCACCAACACCACCACAACCACCACCAACACAACACAACCACCAACACAACCACCAACAACACAACCAACACAACCACCACAACCACCAACAACCACCACCAACACAACCACCATGACCACTACACTACCACCAACACAACCACCAACACAACCACCATGACCGATACAACCACCACCACAACCACCATGACCGCTACAACAACCACCGCCAACACAACCACTCGCGACATGACCACTACAACCACCAACACAACCACTACAACCGCCACCAACACAACCACCATGACCACTACAACCAACACAACCACCATGACCACTACAACCACCACCAACACAACCACCATGACCACTACATCCACCACCACAACCACCATGACCACTACACCACCAACACAACCACCATGACTACTACAACCACCAACACAACCACCATGACCACTACAACCACCAACCACCATGACCACTACAACCACCACCAACACAGCCACCATGACCACTACAACCACCACCAACACAACCACCATGACCACTACAACCACCACCAACACAACCACCATGACCACTACAACCACCAACACAACCACCATGACCACTACCCCACCAACACAACCACCATGACCACTACAACCACCAACACAACCACCATGACCACTACCCCACCAACACAACCACCATGACCACTACAACCACCACCAACACAACCACCATGACCACTACAACCACCACCAACACAACTACCATAACCACTACAACCACCACCAACACAACCACCATGACCACTACAACCACCATGACCACTACAACCACCACCACCACAACCACTCGCGACATGACCACTACAACCACCACCAACTACCAGAGACATTGACACAACTACCACCAACACTTCCTCTGTCACCAACACAACCACCATGACCACTCACGACAACCACCACGACCGACTCTACCACCAATAATTCACTCTTCCCACGTCACCACTACCACCACTACAAACACCACAATCCCCGAGTTACATTTCCACTGTAGCCACAAGCAGCATGCACCGCTACCGCTCATTATCACCACCAACCACCATGATCAATACTACCACTACAACCATTAACGTAGTTAACTACCCTCCACCAAGACCACTAACAACCACCACTACCGCCTCCATAACCACCACACGAACCGCTTACGACGCTTACCAGTACTACTACAACTACTACGTACGGCGCCAAAGAACTTCAACATACAGTACATACACCACTGTCTCCAATACCGCAACTACCCAACACCACAACTATATCCTCCAACCACCACTGACACCACCACCAATATATTTCACCACTAGTATCAATATCACCGTTAACATCACTGTCGCTAACACCACCATCACCACAATATCTCACCACGACTATCACTATGTCACCACCACTATCAATATCACCATGAACACCACCACTGACACCAACACCACCAATATATCTCACCACCACTATCAATATCACCATCACTGTCACCAGTACTCTCAATATCACCATGAACACCACCACTGACACCATCACCACCTCTATATCTCACCGCCACTATCAATATCGCCATTTACACCACCACCACCACTATATCCCACCACTACTATCAATATCACCATGAACACCACCATCACTGACACCACCACTATCTCACTACCACTCTCAATATCATCATTCCCACCACCACCACCACTATATCTCACCACCACTATCAGTATCACCATTATCACCACCTACAACCACCATCACCACCACTCACAGAGAACCTACCCCCGACCCCCTTCGTCTTCCCCCCAAGGCATGAGCCGCCCTTCGTCAGCCGGGGGCGGCAAAAGCGGCGGTGGAGGAAACAAGCAGAGCCAGGGGACGACGTCTTCGGGCCTCGCACCATGCGGCAGCGGCGGCGGCGGTGGCAGCAGCGGCAGCGGCAGCAGCGCCGGCAACTCCACCTCGTCCCCTCTTCACTCGGGCTCGCAACAGCAGCAGCAACAGCAGCAGCAGCAGCTTCAGGGGCAGCATCAACAACAACATCATCAGCAGCAGCAGCAAGGCCACGAGCTGACGGCGCTCTTCGAATGCCCCGTGTGCTTTGACTATGTCCTGCCGCCGATCTTGCAGTGCCAGTCGGGGCACCTGGTGTGCAACTCGTGCAGGCAGAAGCTCTCCTGCTGCCCAACATGCCGGGGACCGCTGTCACCCAGCATTCGCAACCTGGCCATGGAGAAGGTGGCCTCCACGGTGGCGTTTCCCTGCAAGGTAGGTGTGGTGGTGACGGTGGGTTGGTGGTGACGGTGGGTTGGTGGTGGTGGTGGTCGTGGCGGTTAGTGGAGAGACTTGTTTTTTTTTATTGGAATGCATGTTGTATGGTGGTGATGCAAGTTGAGGTATTGTGGTGGTGGTGATGTTTCTTTGCAAGGTGAGGTGTCGGGGTGGTGGTGATCGTGGTGGTTGTTAGTGGTTGTTGGTGGTGGTGGCTGGTAGGTGATAAATCTAGAATCACTTTTGAGAGAAGATTATAATGGCGGTTGCTGTGTGGAGAGACTCGGTGTTGTTGGTGGAACACATTGGAGGGTGGTGATACAATGTGACGTGTCACCGTTGTGGTGGTGGTGGTGGTTGTTGGTGGTGACTGGTTGGTGATAAATCGAGAACCACTTTGGAGAGTGGATCATAATAGTGGTTGCCCTGTGGAGAGACGTGGTGTTGATAGTGGAACACATTGGATGGTGGTGATGCAAGGTGAATTGTCACCGTGGTGGTGATGATAGTTGGTGGTGGCTGTGGTGACTGATACAAATTGAGAACTGCTTTTGAGAGTGGATCATCTGGCGGTGGTTGTTCTGTACGTAGAGTTGAACTTATTTCGCGCCGTACGTAGCCAACCGTGCGAATCGGAGAGACTTGGTTTTGATATTGCAACGGATATTGGTTTTGGTGGTGATGCAAGGTGGCTGGGCCATGGTTAGATTGGGCCCTTTCAGAGGGATGTTGCGATAGTACTTTGGTGGACAAGGTTGGTAATGGAGGTGTTGGTGAAGGGTGGCTAAAAGTTAGTTTGGTGGTTGGGCTGTGGGTTGATTGCTCACGCTCATGTGATTGTCAAAATTAGCTTACTCGGAATCAAATTATTTACACTGGAGGAATCTGATGAGCTATACAGCTCTTTGTCACAGATGTCTAATGGGGGCACGCATTGGTGGAGTCAGTGGAGGGGGTGGGGTGGCACGTGCCCCCCCAATGATCTGATCGAAATCCATAATTTCGATCGGATCATTGGGGTTTATTAGTAATAGAACGGAATTTTGCGACCCCCACTGCCACTGTGTAGCATATAATTACGTGCCAGGGACTCTATGAGATGATAGGACAATAGTCTGATTCCATAATTGGCAATAAGTAACGGCAAAGCGGTTATAAGTGACTCACAGAATTGTGCGCAGTTGCGTATACAGTACACAACTTCCCTGAAGGCATCAGCACCTTCAGCGAGCGCGATGGCGATCACACAACGCCGTTAGAATCCGACCCTCGCCATCACCACACACGCGTCGAATAAAAAGCAAGGGACAGGTCCTTGCTTACTAACAACTTCTATAATTTTTAATTGCTGGAGGGGTTGCCCCCCCCCCCCCACCTGAAAATCCTGGCTCCGCTATTGGGGGCACGGGGTCAGAACGTTACAATAACAAACAATACAGAAAACACAGTAGTAGTGCAAAAGGAGTTCTAGCCGGTCGGATTCCTCCTATTATAAATGAATATTCTGAACTTTTCAAATATGCCACAAGTGGGCCCAATGGTGGCTAGCTTTGGCGGCAGCAGTGGTGGCGGTGGTGGTTGTTGGTTTTTTGGCGAGACTTAAAATTTACATGATGAGACCTCCTTTAACCAGTAACAAGACATAGTGATAGGTTTTACCCTTTTAACTGGCACAAAAAACTGACACCTTTATTCAAGGCATCATGTCTGCAATAACCGCAACACAAGCAGTCAAAATGCAAACAAAAAGACGTACTCTGATAATAATATGCACTGTCCTTGAATTTGATTGGTCCACACCCGAGACGGCTTTCTTTAGAGCCTAGTCTCCACTGACTGATTGTGTTGCGGTTATTGCAGACATGATGCCTTGAATAAAGGTGTCAGTTTTTTGTGCCAGTTAAAAGGGTAAAACCTATCACTATGTCTTGTTACTGGCAAAGGAGGTCTCATAATGTAAATGCTCACCCCGAGCCCTCAATACTCTGATAGTGCGCTGTTTTTGAGTTGTACGCCTTTTGGCGTCTTCTGGTCCAACACCAGTGGAGACTAGGCTCTAAAGAAAGCCGTCTCGGGTGTGGACCAATCAAATTCAAGGACAGTGCATGTTATTATCAGAGTTGTCTTTTTATTTGCATTTTGACTGCTTGTGTTGTGGTTATTGCAGACATGATGTCTTGAATAAAGGTGTCAGTTTTTTGTGCCAGTTAAAAGGGTAAAAAACCTATTACTATGACTTAAAATTTAGTTTCCCTTTTGAGAGAGAGTCAGGGGGTCATGCCATAGAGTCGTGGGCAGACTTGGTCCTGCCATTAGAATGTGATGGCGGTGTAAGGTGTGGAGCCTGCTAGGCGTTTGTAGCTGATTTGTATTTGGATTGTGGGGTGACTGGCATCTATCATAAGAATATGATGATGATGATGTTTTTATGCCGAATTTAATTTCGTACCCTGCGATGGTGCAGTGGTAAAGAGGTTGGTGTTTGCGTTTTTTGTTCTGGGGTGGAAACAATGGGGGGGACCACGTTGTGGGAAGCTGACTGGGTGGGTGGTTGTGAAGTGAAGGGGGTCTTAGAATGGCCCGTGGAAGCGATTATCGCAGAGCTGCTTCTGAGATCTCGCTTGAGGCGGGGATGAAACAAAAATTAACTTTGCACCCACTCCACCACGGAGAGCAACGCTCGTCGAATGACCAACGAACCGATGTTTTAAAATCTCGCAGCCGCAGTTACGCAACCCAAGTGCAGACCCACGTTTATTTTCACCGATAAGTTACGTATATATTTTTTTTATTATTATTGCGTGCGGTCATTGGCGCGACCGAGTTGAGACGAGTAACAGAAGGCGGACGAGACCTGGACGTTGAACCCAGGTTTCGTCTGACCCCTCGGGCCGTCCCAGATGTACGCACACCAGAACCCCGTCCGGTGGAGCTTTTTCAAAACGGGTGCGAGTGGAATGGTGGTGTGGAAGTGGAGATTCCTGCTCCGTGCAATTATCGCCTCCGTGGATGTCCGATCAACGCAGGCCACTTTCACACTTTGCTCACCTCCGAATCCCTTAGAACGTTAAGCGAAATAGGGAAACGGCCGTCGCGATGCAGACGGGGGGGGGGACTGTGGTGGTGGGGGGGGGGGGGGGCATTTGCGTTGTTGGTTTTTTGAGGCGTGCTATGAACCCAGCGGACCCCGAGTTCGATCCCAGGCACTGGCGATCATTAGGGGGGCAGACCTGGAGTCTGTTGCATGCTTCAGAGACGCCCGTCGAGGGCCTCGAGAGCTTTAACATCGATCGCAAGTCACGGGAAAGCCTCGTCTCGGGATTCGTCCGACCTGGCGAAGTTCTCATCTGGGACGGCGCTGCCACCTCTGGAAACCAGCCATGTTGAAGAGACGGCAGTGCAAGACTCCGTATCACCCGTACCCCAGCAGGCTTGCTACCGGCGTATCATTCCCGGCAGCAGCGCCTTTTTTTCTTTTAAAGACGTCGTTACTCACCGCGGAGAACTGGAGCGACACGACCGCCGACGGTAGCTGGCGCCAACAACTGTGCCTCACGACCTCCCTGCGTGTAGCGAGATGTTAACTCCCTCGCCTGGTGTGCAGGAGGTCGTGGGTTCGATGCCGGCCCTGACGATGCCTGCTGGAAATTTGGAGTTTGCGTGTCTCTATCCTCATCATCATCATCACGGTGGCTAGGAGATGTTAACTACCTCGCCTGGTGTGCAGGAGGTCGTGGGTTCGATGCCGGCCCTGACGATGCCTGCTGGAAATTTGGAGTTTGCGTGTCTCTCTCTCTCCTCATCATCATCACGGTGGCTAGGAGATGTTAACTACCTCGCCTGGTATACAGGAAAGCGTGGGTTCGATCCCAACCCTGACGCCTGCTGCTGTATATTTGGAGTTTGCGTGTCTCTCTCTCTCATCATCATCACGGTGGCTATGAGATGTTAACTACCTCGCCTGGTGTACAGGAGGTCGTGGGTTCGATCCCGACCCTGACGCCTGCTGCTTTATATTTGGAGTTTGCGTGTTCCTTTCTCTCTGCCCGTGCTTGCGTGGATTTTTCTCCGGGTCCTCCGTGGTTTCCCCTCCACATTTAGAATGGACGTTGCGCGTTCCGAGTGTTTGGCTGCCGTACATTTCCACACGATAAGCCACTTGGTTTAACTGGCATTTCGGGCCAGGTCACTTCTGAAAGATGCCTATATAGCTCAGTGGGCCTTAACCTGGTAAAATAAAAAAAGAGTTAATAGTTAAAATGTTTAAATTAACATGCCATGCTCTTCCTCACCTGCACAGCGATTATAACCTTGGGGGATTCGTGCCTCGCTCGACGCTTTATCGCAACGCTGCAAGGCCCGCCCGCCTTGGGAGTTGGCATCGTTGGCGTAAGTCACTACCACTAGCATCCGGAGGCAACAGAGCAGAATCCAATAACAATGCTATACTCAGTGTTGTGTAGCGCGATTCGCACAGGGCCTCAAAAGCTCTTTACTCGAAGCTTGAGTTATGGAGAGAGCCTGTTATAAAACATTTGGCGTAAAATAAAAGTTAAACTGACTCCAATCCCCCGAATAGAGCCGAGGGAGTAAGGGGATTTCCAGAATCGCGGTGCTGGGCCGATAATAAAAAACAGCAACCTCTGTCCGTCTCCCATCAGAACAAAGTTCTGGTCTTTGGAATTGCAAAGAGTTTTAGACCAGAATCGGCAGGTCTCCTGAAGCGTTTTCTTGGTGGGCGATAAACAAATTCTGCAGATCGGCGAGATACTAAAACTATTTCTTTTTTTGCAGGTAAGGCCCCCTCACTGAGATATGATGCAGTCCTTTTCTTTAACAAGCTGAGCTGGCCATCGCAAAACGATATCCTCGACGAAGTGGGCCTATCGTCATCGCGTGGAAATGTATTATGGGCAAATGATGGAGTTTCGGAGCCATCCGGTGGCTTGGTCGGCATCTGTGGCCAGGAGGAGCCTCGCTTGGGAGAGAGAGAGGGA